CTGTCCTGGGCCGGCCAAGCAACTGGAAACTCCAAAGTCGGCCTATGGCAGGCAGTCAGCTGCGGTGTGGTGCACAACAAAGAGACGGGTCATTTGCCTTGACATCCCAACAATCATGGAGCATTTGCAAGGGCCTGATCACACATGGGGGTTTAAAGGCTTTACCGTAGTCAGTAGGCCGTAAGTCAAATAGTTCTCCTCACTCATTCTTAATGCTCTGCTCTTCATCTTTGCCTGCCTGAGTTTCATAATGTTTATATATGCAAAACTCAAAGAGACAAAGACAAGACTGAGCGGCCAACAGTTGCATTGCCCTCCACATGTCGGAGTCTTAAACGCTTGGTCCATTGTTTCTCTATCCCATTATTCCGTCCTATCCGCTCCTCTCTCCTTCAACCAAGAGTCCAATTTTCACGATGTGGCAGCTTCAGAGTTTCTTCCTTCGCCTCTTTGTTGTTGCCTCTCTGCAGGAGTTTGCGGCCAACGCCACTGGAATGCTCCAACCAACCCAAAGCCTTCCCAGGTGTTAAGCCATCTCAAAAGAATCGTATTCACACTGGGGGCATTTGTCCAACCTGGGCCTCCCTGACACTGTTTGGCCATGTCCCACTTGAAGGAAGTGTGAAGATTGAGTACAGTACACGTTGCATGTTCTGTCCATGATCCTGACGTGTCGCGTCTGTGGTGCACATCCTTGAGTCCACCACCCAAAACGGCCTTCGTCTTGGAAGTGGGCATTATCAATGATCTTTTCTAATAGCCTCAGGCTCCCCCTCCCATGCTCAGTCTCTGTCTCGGGTCTGTGGGAAGCACCGGGTTTATGGGTGACACGTTGCAGCAAGTAAGTCAATTGGTGTAGCACTGAAACTTATTGAAGCTTCCCAGTTCTGTTTGCTATTCTCAATGCTTTACATACTACAGTAGTCTCTAGTAGTGTAGTTGTATCTGCCACCACCTTTGCCAACAAAACTATCCTGCATCTGGCTGATATGTCCCTACGTGCCTATGACCTCAACAGCCACAAGATAAACTTGCCCGGTGGCTGGGCCATCTCCCGCTGCAAGAAGACCTCGCGCTAGACTGTCGGACATGTTGACGACGTCCCCGTCCCCCATCATGGACGAGACATCGCAAGGCCGTCCATGAAGCCGAATAAAAAGAAGAAGGGAATCTGGAATCAGCAAATGAAAAAAAACGCAACTCCTAAGACAATGTCTGCCTAATACAGTAATGATTAGGCCAGGCATAATTCATAACAACATCACTGACTATGTGACTGCATGTGTGTCAATCAATGTTCAAAATGATTCTGTCTTGGTCTGTCCGCCTCGTGACGGATCCGCGCCGGGAGCCGCTGCTTTCCGGGTCGCCAGAGCCCGAACTCGCGTGCAGAAGCCGGGGGCGGCGTATCTGTGGAAGCCAGCGGAAGCGAGGATGACCGACGTAGGGGACCGCCAAGGGGGCCGCCAATGGAGGCGCGCGTGTCTCATCAAAATCATGTAAAAACACACACATGGTGTTTGTGGTGAGACGTTTGACTACAAATTGTTTTTGCACAAGTTCCACAGTGAATGGATATCACTTTGACAAGGTTGTGAGGATCAGTCCAGTCGTTAAATGTGTGAATGCCTGGGGTGTTCCGGGTGTTTTTTCCCCACTTGTCTGCCCATTCTTGAAATCCATCTGCTAAACTATAGCAGCAGAAAAGGCTATAAAAATCATGGCTGCATTGGGAACAGCTGCGTTCGGAACGTTCGAAAGGGAGAGAGAGAGAGAGAGAGTGAGGTGTCACAAGGAAAGTCGGAACGTCCAATTCAGGACATGCGGGCTGGTGATGTGGCATCAAGAAATTGGATTCCCAACATGCCAAGTCCAGCCTCCAAAAATCACACTTGTGGGAGAGGTCGATGGTCGGGATATTAAAGAATGTCCTGCACATTGGTCTCATCTGTCCTAAGTTTAACGATTGAACCAGCCACAAAATGCCACAAAAATGCTTGGCACTTCCAACTCTTAAGCTGGGAAGTTTGAAAAACATGCATGCCGCTGCCACGTGTACCTGATTCAATCCTGATTGACCAGCCAGCAAAATCAACAAACAGGGCTAGCTAGAATGTACGTACATGTCTCATCACATGAGATCTGATGGGTCTTGTTGCAATTGCCATCCTTGTTGGGCGAATGCCCAGGCTCAGCTGAAAGGGAACAGAAAGGACCAAACATAAAATAACTATATAAATATATAACTATAACTATATATATATGCATACATTACTACAGCAATAAGTGTTGTTCTGCACTTTTGGGTGGAAAAAATGACTTCACCCTTCAGTCCTGTTTTTCGCATGTCTTGCCGCCCATTTGGGCTGCGAGGAGTCCGCGAAAAGCCCATGCCTTTGGCACTGCTCCTTGGCCAAGCACGACTAGAACGGGCGGAGCTCTCAAATCCAGTCCAACTTCAGATTGATCCCAGCCAGGCCATCGCTATTCGGTTGGAGGCCATTGCTACAGGGTTGGAGGCCATTGCTACTAGGTTGGAGACCATTCCGATTAGGTTGGAAACCCTGGTTGATGCACAGCTCGCAGGGCTGGTCCAAACAGCAAACAAACGATCAAACAGCAAACACACATTCATGCATCCCTATCTGGAGCCAGCTTCCAAACACTATATATAGTGCTCCATGATTTGTCCTTCATGAGTGGGAAGGCCTCAAATCCCTCCTAAAGCTTCCCCACCCGTTCAGCCACATGGCGGGGATCGCGGAGAGCTGCAGGTTATGGTCGAGCCTGTCCCTCTTGAAGGGGCAGTTGCCATCATTGGCCCACACATGTGCGTGCTCAGTCGAGCCAATCAAAACTGCCAATGTTTGAGTAATATCTCATGTCTCCTCTACTACATCTGTGTCATACATGTGCTTTGCTAGATGTCCGCACCAAACATAAATCACTCGCCTTGGCCTCGTGAGTCGGTTGCACGTTCTTGACTTGGTCAGTTAGTGTCTTGCTGTGTAATGTGTTTCTCATGTGTTTTAATATTGAGTCTGATTCTGCTCTATCTATGTAGTCTAATATATATATATATATAAAGGCTGCACGTGCGCGGCGAGCAGTTCCGGTCCACTTGTCTCAAACCATTCGGTGAACTGCACTGCATTTGGCATCTCCAAGACTGTCCGTCAGTAGAGAGGTTTTGATCTGGGCTGCTCCACCTTCAAGAAAAATTTCCCCATGATCTGCACTTGATCATGGAACCTTCTGCATCATGTCTGATCATCAAGCCGACTGCCCACCATGCATTCCAAACCGCATATGTTCATTCATGCTAGTAGTTTAGCTGGCTTCGAACTTTGACAACCATCCCCTCCGCGAGCTTTGTGGACAAACGCCATGCCTGGCCCTGCGCATCTGGCGGAGGTTGTCCGCCATAAACCTCCGCAGGGGACGCAACCAAGTGGATGCTTGCCACAAACATGTTACTGTTAAGATCGAAACCGTCCACACAATCCGTTGAAAACAGATGAAGACCTCCGAGCCTCCACGTAAAACCTTAATGGTCTCATTTGCGCTCCGTCTAAACAACCCCAACATCACAAAAGGATAAAGTAATAGAAAGTATGAGAAAGTGACCAGGTGGCTACCTGTGGAGCATATGCGGCTGGATCGCTCCACCTGAGCAGCTCAATTCAAACTCAATGAGGAGGATGTGCTCAACTCAAAACCTCTCAACATCCAACACAGTTTATCAGATGTGCATGGTGATTCCTACCTCTATTGGTGATGCCTACCTCTATCCTTATCATGAAAACTTGCTGAACATGCGCATGTCCTACACCTGGGACTGTTTCTGTGGCGCCCCATGCTGCAGCAAATACAGTAACCAAAATAACCCTCCAGCCAAAGAAGTCTGGGCGTCGTGCTCACCCAAACGATCGTGGGAAGCATAGATCGCCAGGATCTGGCGCTCTTTGCGCTAGGGCGATACATTTGATCTCACAATATGCCTGCCCAGGATCACCTTGTATCCCTGGTGCTTTCACTCGCATCGGCTTCTATTTTGCACACGTGTAGATAGTAGTCGAGTCCAAGTCTTTTGGCATTCCTGCGTCCTACTCACAAAGCTAGCTGCACATCAGAGTACAGCAAATCAGGCGGCTGACAGGGATGTGCGCAATCACAAAGACGAGCATCACAGCCCTGCCATGGTAGAGGTAGCACATGCACAAAAGGTACTGAGGTGGGCCAAAAGCCAGCATAACAAAAATCTGAATGTCAGCACCCAGCTCCGTGACAGCCACAGCGATTCAGAAAATGAAAGGGTTTCTTTTCCACTGCACTGACTAGTTGACTGGTTTAGGCGTGCCAGCAAATGGTCGACTGGTAGCATCCAGGACTCCACGTGTCTCAGCGTCCGGCATCATAAAGCGGAGAAAGTAGAAATAAAGGACCCATCCAGAGCCTCTGCAGGAGATCGTCACCCAAGTATTGTGCCATTTGGGGGATCAAGGTGTAGGATGAAGTGAAGGAATAGCGCAAACCCAGTGTTTGCCAACCGATGGTAGCTAGTCCACGACTGTCTTCACAAGTCTCTCAGCTCAACGTCGACGTTCATAAAACCGTGGGTTCACACTACCTCACTTTCTTTGCAACCTGGACTGGGTCTAGTGAGCCTAGTGGCCTTACATTGATATACAGTACAGTATCTGCGTTACAGAAGGGGTCTCGTTCTTGTGCAATTGTACAACTCCGGTCTTCCGTCACTTCCTTGAGTCTTCTGTCACTTGCTTGAGGTTCCCAGGCCCAGCTCGCTGAAGTCCTTGAGCCTCGAAATGGCAAACTGACACGCCCCGGTCGGCACATGTCGTCGCTCGGCGAGATGCGAGATGCGATTTCAACGAGCAGAAGAAACGAGCAATGAGTCCGTCCATCGAAGGAGGACTGAACTCGTGAACGATTATATGCGTCCATCACCCGTATCTCGACACCAGAAAGCACCGCGCATCTTCACCGCAACCCCAGGTTTGCTAGGCTTACCTGGCAGCATCTGTTGTCTGCGCAGGGCTGAATTGTTCACGAAAACCTCTTTGGTGTGATAAGAGCTGACCTGCTGAAATTTAAAGCTCCTGCTTGAGCACCCCTTACAGCACCATGAGCAACAGAACTGTTGCTGGCTGCGCTGAAGCGGCTGAAGTGCCATGCATCATACTTGCTTGACATTCATCAAGCTGTTAAGGTTGAACTAGATGTGTTCAGCATCAATGGGGAGGGTGGTCAGCAGTTCTCGCCAAAGAGTTTCCGCTTAGTAACCGCTTAGTAGCGCGTACTTGCAATGGCCCTCTCTTTGGCACAACGTCCACGCGCTTTGGAAGTGCCAAGCCCGCACAAATGTGGAACTGTTGGATGGAAACAAAGGCGTGCGGGAGTTTAACTTTAACTGCAAAGCTTCATCCACCTCCCCTAAGAAAGATCATCTCCAATGAAGGAACCCTCAAACGATGTCCCCAGCCGCAGTGGGCAAAGGAACAAGCAAATTGCCTTCAGATCTTGTCTTCTCAAGCGTTGTGAACTTCTCAGGTGCCGTCAAAACGGTGTCCTCTCTCGTTGATGATGGTTTGGCCGCTGGAGCATCTTCCCTGCCAACCCAAACAAGCACGTGCCATGCCACTCTCATGATCAAGAATACTGACTCATGCAGGCTCCTAACTTCGAGATGTCTGATTAATGGCCCTGGCTTTGCATCATGCGCCATGTGTAGAACCGCGAGGTCTGTCTTCCCCTAATACTCCATGGGCAACCCCCAGCACCCACAGAAACACTTCCCACTATGCACAAAACATCCGCCTCGCAGGCTCTGAGACAAACTCCGGTCTGCTCAATCGCTCTGGCGTGGGTTGCCATCTCAAAGCTTCCGGTGCATTCGGTGGCCCAGTGACCAAGACCATTGGTGGCGCCGTGGGTGGCAACGTGGGTGGCTTTGGCCACGCTGCAGTCACCGTTGGCCAGGCCGTGCTGGTCTCTGTGAGGATGGGCCGTGGGGTCTCTGCTCTGGACGGCTCCGGCTTCCAGGACTCTGTGGCTGGGGAGGGCGCCACGAACAGCTCAGAAGCCGCCTAGGAAGTGAAGACTGTGTCTTGTGGCGACTGTGGCGACCAAACTAGGCGACCAAAGAGTCTATGAGGAATCATAGCCATCTGAACAGGTCCGCGCTTGAGTCTCATTGTTTACAGTAGTTCTCGATACCATTCCAAAGATTCGAGTACGGTATAGCATGTTTGTCTATACGTGTGTTCTATGCAGTTTCATGTGTTCAGTAGCGCCCCATATGCTACTGTGTGATATCTGACACTCTCCTCTGCCATGCAAAGGTTTCTCCTTTCCTTAAAGCTGCGAAGGCTACCCGAAGGCCCTCAATGAGTCAACTGATATTCAACCATGAGCTTCTTGCACTGCCATGTCACTTTGGATCGCTGTGCATCTTTCTTCACCTTGTGCCAGTAGCGTTCAAAAACATGCTTTTTCCAACAAAGATGCGTTATCCAATGCAATTGCATATGCAGGAACAAGTCCTTATATACTTGTGGTGGTTGCTGGAACATTGGGGCTAGCCAGTCCAGCACCTATATTTGCCAATTGCCCCATCTTGTTTAGTTCGACGGTGGTCAAGTTTTTTGCACCCAAAACTATGGACCCCAAGTGCTGCACGCCTTGGCTGCAGGATCAAGGATGACCGTGACCACGAGGCAAGAGATCCTTAAATGTATCACGGAAAACTGCAACGGCACCATTCCAGTTTCAGACCAAACTGCAAGATCACCAATCACGCACTCCAAAAGCCACAGGCCTTTTTACGACTATCCAAGTCCGGACCTGGACCCCGCAAGCCACAAATGATCTTTGCGGCTTTGAGAGCTGCAGTACGATCAGGACATGGCGCATATCCATGGGTGGTTTTGCTGCCGAGGCTCGTGAAAAGCACGCAAAGCATTGCTATGGCCAAATTGCATCCAAGCAGTCTGCGGCATTCGCCTGTCACTCGGACAAATCAATGCTGGGGTTGAAATAGATCGCCACAACAAACGCGAGCGTGCCAAATTGCCAAAGCATGCCAAAGCTGGTGCTCCCCTCCCCCTCTACCATCCTATACTCTCTACCTGGCCACCATATCTTGCACGGCATCTTGCATCCATTCAATGCCATTCAAACCCATCGTTTATAACGGGTTTTAAGAAATGAAAATGTAAATATCGTTTCCCAAACTGGGCTCCTGCAATCTCCGTCTCGACCGGCGCGTAGGTGTTGTGCAGCCGCCCGGCGGGTGGAGACATCTCCCGCGGCGATGCCATGGGTCGGGCCCAGGACCGGTACGCCACGTGATCGTCTCTGGGACAATGCAGATGTTGCGAGCATCTCTGTGACTTGGCTCTTGCATGCGTGTGATTGCTTAGGTTATGCGAGTGCCCGCTTACTTCTTGGACATTTTTTGGTCATGTAGATGACTGACTCCTTTGGCCTCAAAAATGTCAATGAATCCTTGAATGTCAATCTCTCCGACCTTTCACCGAGACAAAGATCGCACAAAGTCACCAAGCACATTCCATCAATGGTCCGTTCACAGGCAGGTCTTCCAGGGTAAGACTGATTGCAAGGGCCTACAATGCGGGCACCGCGCATTCGTACTGAATGCATGCAATGCGGGCAGGACGGAAAGATCGGAAAGAAGTCCAACTCTACAGGACACATGCCGACGCAAACCCCCGTCGCCCTTCCCTCCGTGCGCCTGCAACGCAAAGGAAACTTATCGCAGGAGTCAGCGAATGCAGCCCAATTCTCGAACCTGCAGGGGTTTGCGGCCCTGTCTCGTTTGCTGATTGGTTTCATGATGTTTCGTGCACGGATGCTGGATTTGAGCCTTGACTCGGATCGAGGGGGTCTCTCTCTCTCTCTCTCTTCTCTCTCTGTCTGGTGGGAGGCTGTCTCTATGGCAAGTGCGACTCTCCGCCCACCTGTGCTCGATCATGATATCCTTCACATCGACCTGACACATGGAGAGCCGGAAGTGGGTAGACCTCGAAATGGACCCGGCCAACGCCGCGCAAAAACACTAAGTCCAGTGTGGACCAAAAATTACCTAAATGATCAAAATGGTGACAAGATGTGACGAGATGTGACAAGATATGACCGAATGTTCAAAACAAGGTCCTCAACGGAGCCGCATGGCATGGAGCCACGCCTTTCTACGTTGTGCCTCTTTCACCAGCTCCTGGTATCTGTCCTGCGGATTTGTACGGTGCCGGAAGACAGGAGAAAAGAAGGCAGGATCTACAGTCTACAGCAGTGCTCCTGAAGGTGGGGAATCAAGCACTTCAACACGAGCCACTACAGTTGCACTCTGTTCTCCCAACTGCTTCTGGCCTGAATCTTTCGAGTATGACATACTCGATTCCATCTGAGCAGGGCAAGGAGCACGGCTCAAACAGGAACATCAAGACTGACAATCAACAGATATCAACAGCCATTTCTTTTGAGGGGTCATGCATGGCCCCCCATGTCCTTGTGCTGCCTGGCATTGTGGACACTAGTGCAACTTAGTACTGTACGCTTCAGAGGCATGACCCAGGCCTCCGGAAGTCTTCCAACTCCAGGGTCCGATTCACATCCACCATGGCTCGAGTGGCAAATGGTCTCAGTATGTTCAATGCAATGACGAGTTGAAGAGTGAATTGTACCTTTAAATTGGCTAGTGACCAAGGCCAACCACGAGGCTTTAAGATCAATATAGGTCAATGTAGGTCTAATTGTGAAGCCGATCTCTATGGAGAGGCGTCTGTGAATGTAGCTAAGTCGGTAAAGTGGTGCGGCTCTTCGTTTGCAACATCTCTTTGCTTATCGACTGTTGCATGAAACCCGGCTCATCGTGTTGCTTTGAGCCCCGCAAGGCGGTTCTTCCAAAATATCCAGGGCAGCTCCCAAAACCCAGCCTTGGTATAGGCCTTCCATGGCAGAGGCAAAGCAGAACATCAAATGCGTTTCCCCCTACTCTCTACATTGAACTAATAATACGTATCTAATGATAATGAACTACCAGGAGGCCGCGTATGGTCGCTTTCCACGGAAGTTGGCCATCTGGCATCCATTGCTTGTTGGAGGAAGCAACCGCTTGTGGCAGCTGGCACGTCAGTGATCCTTTCCAACGGACGAATTGGCTCGCAAGTCGGTGAGGTGAAACACTCCTTGAGCATTTGCCCCCTGAAGCATTGGATTACATGCTGTCTTGTGGCTGGACATGTAGCTTCGCCCATGGAGCATTTGCTCTGATGTTTGCTTGATAGAGTTGGCTCAATGAACGGGAGAGCTGGTGGGGTCGGAAGTCATAAGATGCGAGAAGCTCATCTTCAGCTCTTTAGTCTTGGTGGCCGGCCTGTTTCAGCCCGTGGTGAAACTCTCCTACTTCAGAACTTCAGGCGTTTAGTCGTGCGGCTCGTCATTTAGACCGAACTCCTGCGCCCAAGGACAACTAAGAGCCTTCCCTGGTCCAACTGAGAATCTAAGTTATTGCAACTTATGATATTCCAATGGAAGACGGTTTAGGACCTAGTTTAGCAATTTGGCCTGGGAATGTCAGGCACCTAGGAGACAAAAAGAGCACTTCGGAAACTTCAGAGCGCCCTTTGCCAACATCTCAGCCGAACAAACTGGCGATCCTTGAGACGATTGATCAGCGGCGGCTTGCTGGTATCCCTATCCCAGCTATTGTGCGTCACCTCGGCAATGCCACAAAGCAGGCGCGAAATACTCAAGCTCGTACGTACGGCGTTACCTACGTGACAATGTCACACGGTTTGCACACGTTTGCAGCGAATCAATGTGGCACACCTTGGGCACAAATGGCACATCCTCGCCTCGATGCGCTGACTCATCTTGTCGAGCGTCTCCTGGTGCAGAGAAGCGCGTAAAAAAACAACACCTATCACCTGTCTGCCAAGGAGTTGAGCATTCACGAGGTTCTAGGTTTCTGGAATTAAAAACAATGGAGTCAGGCGTCCGGGACAGTGAGATTGACATTCCCAAAAGCAAGCAGGAGGACACTCTTCGTTTCATGCCATGACAATCCTCAAAATGTAAAGCAACTAAAACCAAGGTCAAGGAAAATGCTTTATCTATCTGTATCTCCTTCTTGGCTGTACCTCACATACATTGATTGACTGTCTACCCCGCGCTCCTTGAGCATGTCAGCAAACTCGAAGGCCATGGTCTCCATCTTGGAGGAGAGTGAGGCAATTTCCAGATCCTGCTCCACAAAAGGAACGATCAAGGTGTTGGGTTGGGTGCAAGTCCATGAACTGCCAACGAAAAGGGCACCCACTGACTGAGGTCAGGCAACATGCATACATACATTCACCAAATTGGGTTAGTCCTTCTCAATCACTATATATCTCTGTGAATGCTAAGCGCCTTCTGCCTCAGGATTTCTTCCTTCTCGATTCTGACCTGCTCTATCTCCTGGCAATCAGACTGGATCCCATGGGCCATTCAAACTCTTTCGTGTTTTTCCTAGTCCTTTATTGGACAAAAAACTTATTGGAGGCTATGGCGAGTGGGCGAATGGAGCACGCCAAGAGAAAGAATGTTGGAAATGAATCGCACCCCTGGTCTACGGCTCCGAGTTTCACGTTGACGAAATACTGTGTGACTCTGTGTGATATTGTAACGTATAAGGCTGCCGCGTGCATTCTGAACCTCCTCTCTCCAGCTCTTCAAGGCCAGCTCGCCTTCGTCACAGACTCGATCTCGGCTTTTGCTTCCGACACCTGGTCATGCTTTTCCTTCCCGGTGCATGTCGAAACGCTGACCCCTTATTGAAACCTTGAAGAACCCCACAGTCCATTCAGCCAGCATGGTGGATTGAGTTCATGAATAGTTAGGATGGTCACAAACGCTGACCCCCCAATGAAGTGAAAACTCGCATCTGCAAGGGGCCTTTTTTCTGCAGCGCATCGATAGTCTCGTTGAAAGATTCCTGCACATCAATTACCAAGGAGGTTCTGCACTTCTGTGCATCGTGAAATGCGAAGCTGCACAGTTACAAACCAGGCAATTAAGCCATGCAAATGGTTTGTTGTGCATATGTATTAAAAAATATATTGTTCAATGTTGTTTATATTGTTCAGCGCCTAGCTGCGCATGGCAGCGAAGCGAACCAAGAAAGGTAGTCTAGGGTTAGTTGTCAGAAAATTGAGCTGCGCTGTCAGAATCGGTTCTAAGAACATGTCTCTTTACATTCCCCCAGCCGCCAGCCTGCATCTCCCTGTACTGCCGGCTCATTTCCTTAGCATTGACACTTCAACGCTCTGTTATGAAGTTCGTTGTTCCCCCAGCCCCCCCAATCACGGTACCCCCCATCATGGAACTATACTCTTGACTGATGATATGAGCAATGGACAAAATCTATAACTAGAGGAACCTATTGGGGATGGTCATGGTCGGCCCCCCCTTCCCAATTTACACGCTAAAGAAACCAGGGGGGCATGATTGCATGATTGCATGCAAAACCCCAAAAAAAGGCGAAGAAGGTTTGTGAGGCGTCCCACGTCCATCAACCAACCAACCAGCCAACCAACCAACCAACCAAGCTATCAATCAAATCACATCAAATCAATTTATATAATGCAAGTCAATTCATGCATGCATTCATTCATTCATTAAATCAATCACTCGATCACTCACTCATGCATCCATTCATGTATTCAATCAATCAATCAATCAATCAATCAATCAATCAATCAAATCAAATCAAATAAAATCAAATCAAATCAAATCAAATCAATCAATCAATCAAATCAATCAAATCAACCAATCAACCAATCAACCAATCCACCAATCAACCAATCCACCAATCATTCAATCAATCAATGAATCAATGAATCAATCAATCAAAACAATCACCAACCAACCAACCAACCAACCACCCACCCACCCAGTCAGTCAGTCAGTCAGTCAGTCCCTCCGTCCCTCCGTCCCTCCATCCATTTCCAAAGCCGCAAAAAAAATGTCCCAAAGAGGCTTCCCCTCAGTGAGACCGACTGACACACACTGGCACCGCCGCAAAAGCCGCACCGACGCACCGCCCGGCAGAGAGCTGTGTTCTGTCCAGTCTCTGCCGTGTTTTCACGACATCGCACTGCCTCATCCTCGAAGGATTGATCAAGCTCGGCGATTCGCTTCCTCCCAGGGGGGTGGCTTACTCGCAGCTTGGTTGGCCAATGGAGATTCACAGCGGTGCGGTGGAGATTTCATCATCATTCATGTCACGATTCATGCACCATGACGGCCTCAAATCATCCTCGGACTTCCGGCAACCAAGGATCTGCTCGTCCTTGATCATGATCCTGCAGGCGAAAGGTGAGTGTATGGGGCCGATGGCAAGCTTTCAACTTCCACTAGACAGTGGCTAGTGTTGAGAAGTTGTGTGCAAGTTGCTACTAAAGGCAGGATTCAGGTGCATCACCTCCACAACAAGAAGAAACTTCTATGTCGCCCACTTCTGTGTGCCTATATTGGAGCACCAGGATCTTTCGCTGCATGTAGCCATTTTCCTTACAACACGGCTTGGGCGGCTTGGCTGAACCACTGATCCACATCGAGCACTGCTCAGCCGTCGAAGCCTTTGGATCTAGAACAGGAGACTTTGTCTTGAGAAGCTCCTACATCTCAGAGCGTGGGCCTGTTGATAGTTGATCTCATCGCCACCTTTCTTGTCGCCCATGTTCCTCAGAGAAGGGCCAAGCAACAATGTACAGAAAATCCTACTTGAGGGTGGCCAACTGCTGCAAGGACACTAGCTGTTGCGGTGATACAGCCCCGCCGGGCAGGCAGGGAACAATGCTGTTGAGCCAAAACCCGGAAGCACACATTATTGCTCAAAACATCTTAAAACCATTCTCCATCTGCAACCGGAGTTCCAGGATGGCTTTGAATGCTTCGACGCTGTTCCAAGAAAGACGTATGCACCTTGATTCTTATCTGCAAGTTGTGTCTATCAAAATAGGTGTCGCCGTCCGGTTCCTTGGTCGAAGCTTCTCATCGCTCTGTTCTCGTCCCTCCATGAACAGAGAGCTTGGCACACATGTTTTCCTGCAACAACCTGGTCTCTGCAGGGATGTGGGCACCCACCTGAGGTGGAGAGACGACGAAACTGGCAGAACGAAGAGACTTGGATAGACTCGGATAGACCTTTCTTTCGTCTTTTAAGTTAGCGGGCTGTCACAGTCAAGCTCACAAGTGAGCAAGCAGCAGCAAAATCCGACACATCTGCTGGAAGTGCAGGTGCCTTGCTCCAGTGTATGTTTCGGCTGGATGCCTCTTGGCAGTCTAGAAGTCCCAAGCGGGTTTGCATCCTTGGTCAGGGGTCACACCATTCCACTTGTTCAAGTCTGCATGTGCCACAATGGGTCTACTCAATTCAAAACTTAGTCAACGCTCATCACAATAGGTTAGTTAGCAGGAGCCCTGCACTCTAGGACAGACAAATTCGATCTGAACATCGTTACTGGCCAAGGATCAGTGGTGGCTGTGACCCATCCAGGCAGAGATTTGTAAAGGAAGCATCTACAGGGCCCCACTGCCTAGGTACTGGAGACGATGCACCACAGAACGGCCTTCTAAATAAATGACCCCCCCCACACACACTGTCGCGATCCACTTTTGCGTTTGCAAGTTTGTACCTTTGGTATGATCTTGGGTGACTTGCGTGATGTGGCCACTTGGTGTCCTTAGGGAGGCGACAGGTGGTCCGCGTAACCCCAAACAAGCGCAACCACTTGGTCAAGGCCATTGATAAGACTGCAAGGAAAAGAACTTGCTGTTGCCATCAACGAAACTTACATATCCAAATAGAATCGGAGACAAGCTCACCCCTCCCGCAGTCCAAGCGTCAGCCAAAATGCTTGATTGGTGTTCTCAACTCCATATGGGGAATCTTTGCCCTCCATGGAATAGCACACCTTGGGAGAAATCACAGCGCGCTCAAGACATCTAAAGGCCTCTGAACCCTTTTGAGGCATGATCAGTCATAACTTAAGCCGTGAGTCGTGACCTCCAAACTACGATAATTTGTGACTAAGTCGAAGGACCTAGGCAAGTCATCAGCACCATATAGTACCGTAGTATCACTGTTGACTGTTGATCCATGTTTCCGTCGTTGCCAGTCCTCAACGCATGGCAATCCTCCTCTGCCGAGCGAGCAACATACATTAGCGGCTTCTGTCCGTTGTCGGTGTCCAGACCTCGGCAGCCACCGCGACGACGACAACCAGTCACCAGTCGTCGCAGCTATGGACACACCCAAAAAAAGACAGCTGAAGTGAAAATGAACCAGCTGATTTATAGTTCAAGATCAATAACAGAGCGGCGTAGACTCTTGACTCTTGACACCTCTGGATTCCAAGTGAGTTGTTCCTTTGTTCCTCTTTTGCACGTCTGCTACTAAATGATTGATGGTCTCATTCAGCCATTTTTTCTGATACTGTACCGATCTTTCCTATTAAACTGACATCTGCTCAAACTGCTAAATTTATCCTGAGACATCTCCAATGTTCCGAACAGGGTCTCCGACAAGTGGTCAGCTTGGAAGCTGGCTTAAGGCCAAGCCTGGAAGTCGGCTCAGACGCGGTACTCAGGCACTGGAAAAAAACTGGTCAAAAATGGTCAAACCAGGGAACGCTACTAGGGGCTCCTGGCCTTACTACTAGGAGCAAGAACGCTACTAGGAAGGCCCTCTCAGCCCCCGAGACCTCAAAGAAGGCTTCGCCCATTGCCACTGCTGCTCTTTGTCCTGGCCGCTCGAAGGACCGAAGGGCAGAGCGCTCAAGGCGGATGGGCTGCTCAATTAAGATATACAAATAGTGTCTTTGTGGGGGGAGGTGGGAGTTGATAGAACAAAATGTAAAAAGAATAAGAGAATGCATAATTCACCAACATGCAACACATAGGTTTTTTTAAAGGGGAGGTAGGCCGCGAGTAGAGGTAGGAAGTAGCTTAGTATCTAAAGGTAGCTAGTAGTAGCTAGCTAGCTACTAATAACTGGACGCAGGAATAGCTCGCGCTAATGACTTGGTTCATAGACTTTTAGGGAAACTTAACCTAATGCATCCCACATAGGTTCGAACAAACTGCAAATAACGCACGAGCTAGCCTGGCAAGCAACCATCTTACGCCGACCTCACCTTAATCTGTTCGACCGCTTTCGGGGCCTCTGCAATAGTGGACCAGTGCCTCTTTCAGTGGCCTGGTGCGTCAACTCAGTCGCGTCGACTTGGACTCCTCAGGATCGCAAGTGGCCAAACGCGGAGGCTGTGGCTCTTCGCCCAGCACTGCCATGAGGCAGTGACCTGGCTGCGCTGTACGAGTGATGATCGTCGTCCCCAAATTACATGGCAATGAATATCCGGAGGGAATTGGCTAAACATACCGTCATGTGACGGAAACATATATTTATATCCCTGAAACCACCAGTTGCATCAAGCAGACTTGCTTGTGCCGCAGGCAGCCCGACCTTTATGTCCACACAGTTGAGACATGTTGAGACTGAGACTACTCACGAATAGACCCAAGAGTTGCACACAACAATCTGAAGGCGCAATCAATGCTGCTGCAGTCGCCTGTTGCTAGCACAAGGCGGAAGAAGTCGGTTCCTTCGATGTCCTGACTATATAGTTTTCACTATGCATGCTGCAAATTCCGGGATTCACGCCCAGCTTGTTTCGATTCTGACGCTCCAAGTATATCGGCACACGTGCCACAAATGACGCATGATGCACGTATAACACCTGCACATGGAACCTATGACTCCTTGGCTTTCATGGCAAGTCCTGCACTTGGAACCTCTGCTCCGCCACAGCGTTCTGGCCCTCGAAACGGCACGAGGACCAAGTGGCCTCCCAGGATGAACCCGGAATGGGCCTTTGTAGCAACCGACCGGCACATGGGAATCGCATGGGAATCGCATCAAGTGTGGGGCTCCCTGGAAACAAAAGCAATAACCGACCATGACTCATGACCAACCTCTGGAATCGATGTTGCCGAAGGAAGTTGTCATCTCCAAAAGCCCGTACCACGACAAAAAAGTTCAGCCTGCTAGCCAGGCTTGAGAACAGTCACGGGTCAGCCGCGTGCCGATTGGATATCCGTGAGGACTTGGTAAACCATGCTTGCAGTGATTTGGGTAGAGTATTATCTACAAATAAATCAGCAGGTTCAGTTTGTATAAAGGACAATATTTGGCCTTGCCTCATTGGTTGGCAACTCTTCTGCTTCAGCATCTGATGGCACCAAGCAGCCTTCCCATTGATATGTTCATTCAAATCAGCCCGGTTGGCTCCTACTCCAGAAACTTGTCAATTTCATTAAATGTCTCCAGTCTGCCAAAGGTCTTTCCGTCTTTCAGTTCCACCTGAAAACTCGCCGCCAAGCAGCCCCATTCCTCGCTGAAAATCTGGCCATCCTCGCGCAGTGTCCAGATTTGGCCTCGCGCAGTGTCCATCTTGCGCCGTCGTGGATCCAAGCTGAACAGCAACAAGGGCATCGCTACTAGTAACAAGTGCATTACTACTAGTAGCTAGAAGCTACTAGTAACAAGAAGCTGACTGAGCTGAACAGTCTGAAGGAGTCCTCGCTAGGTGCCCTGACTGTTGGGGGGCCGCCGATGTATACACCTGGAGCAGGGCAGCGCCAAAAAGTGTTGAGAGATTGAACATTCTTCGGATGCTCAGGCGAAAAGCTATCGCGACAACAATCGGAACGAGCATGTATGAACTTCTTTATGCACTAATGGTTCTGCCGCACCCTGAATATCCCTTGTAGGTTACCAGGTTGCCTTAGAAGTTGCCCTATAAGGCTACGCAAGTTGCTCATTTCCAGGTATTCGCTTCATAAGTCTGCAAATCCGATCGACATGTTGCCTAGCTTTTTCCCTATGACCCAAGGATCAATACATCTGAACAGAGGCGTACCCATACGGTCCAGGCTTGCCCAAGCGGCCTGCCAAAACAGTAACAATGCTCGGTGGGATTCAACCCTGTGGAATTGTTATGGACAAAGAAGTTGCTGTAGCCATTAAAGTTTCAACAAGTAGTAGCAAGGGCTCCTGGCATCGCTACTAGGAGCAAAGGGCATCGCTACTAGGAGCAAGGACGCTACGAACGGGGCTCAACAAGTAGTCACTAGACTGTCGTGCAATACATCGGGGAGTGATACATTCTGTGAAACGACGAGATATACTGCAAGAGGCAGATTGTCCACATTCAACAAGCTCAAAACCTGAGCTTCTGGCCATCTAAACCTGAGCACCGCTGCGCTTATGAAATGCCTCTGCACTTGTTGCATCTGTATAGTATAGAGTCGAGTCTAGAGAAACGCACCTAGAAGCACACCACCTAGTCTATATGGCCTTGGGAAACATGTCTCAACCTCCAAACAATTGTGTTGAAGCAGCTGCTACTTTGCTCTAATCTCATCCCATCTCCCTCTCTCTCCACATCATTGTCCATCCAGGGCCGTCCATGCTGCAGCCAAGACACAATAGCTGTTGGATCCTACCAAGGCCTTGTATGGTCCAATCCCACTGCAACATTCCGGCGTCCCGTCATCCTGATCCTGGACTGCAAATTACGAGCATCTCACTGAAAGCGAGACATCTGAGCTGCACAGGGTCTTTTTGGTTGCTCTTTCATTTCTTCGTGTTCGCAAACAGTTGCACCTCTGTACGCTCGTTCTTGTCGCAAAAGAGTTGGCCTGAAGGTCAAAAAATAAAAGGACCGGATAACCCCACATGATAAGTTTTACAAATTTCAATTGTATATGAACATCACATGGGAGACGGAGTAGTGAGATGAAAAGTCAAGAACGAAGTGTGAGGAGAGAAGGTATATGAGGCGGTTGTGCTAAGACGTGTAGTATAAGTGATGATGTGATGGACGAGGATG